GTTTACTTTCACTCCTGAATATGCAGCATTGTTGTAGGGTGACTCTACCACTAACATGATGGACCTCTTGCCAGGAGTTAGGGAATGGCAGAGTGGATTCCCTGTCTTTACTCCGCCCCTTGATCTGCCCCAGATTCTTTTTGCAAAGCTAGTACCTTAGGTCTATGGACCTTTCTTCACTTCTTTTTTTCTTCTGCTCACTATCTTTTTACCTACCCAGTCTTTCGAGAATAGGAAATGATTTGTACAGTGGTCTCCACTTACCAACTCAGATTAAGTACAGCAGTGTATGTCTAATTTTAAACATTGCTAATATGATCCATGTGTTAGCTTGATCTTATTGAAGTGAATTCTACTGCTCATGAATGCCTTTTAGCAGATTATACTAAAATTGAACAGCATTAACCACTTGTCCTCCTGAGGATTTACCCCCCTTCATGACCAGGCCATTTTTTGCATTACGGCGCTGAGTTAATTTAACTGACAATTGCGTGGTCATGCAACTCTGTACCCAAATAAAATTTACGTCCTTTTTTTCCCCACAAATTGAGCTTTTTTTGGTGGTATTTAATCGCCTGTGTGGGTTTTATTTTTTGCGCTATAAGCAAAAAAAGACCGACAATTTTGAGAAAAAAAAAAAAACTATATTTTGGACTTTTTGCCTAGGGCAGCACAAAATCTAAATACACTACTGGTCACTAGAACAAGGTTTAAAGTTAAATCTTTCAATGGGGTTGCTTCTACCATTGGCTTCTGAGAGGGGAATACCTCTTACGTTGTTGAGACTCCCTGCTACATCTCTAGGACAAGAAGTAAAGGGAAATCCCCCTAATGGGACAAAGGCAGCAAAAATAAAGTGGCAAGGTTTATATTTCTTTTCCTCTCTATCTAAAACTAAAAATATTTTGCCTATATATACATACTAACTACCATCTAAAATATCTTTTTCTGCTTTCCTCAACAGACACCTCATTGAAACTCAGACTCCTAAAATAGAACTAAATATAAAAAAATACAGCAAACAGGCAGCCTTTTTTTTGGAAGAAGAGACATGCAATAGAATACACTTACTTGCCCATTTACAATTTTATGTGGAATGCACACTGGGTTGCACATGAGCAGCTCAGTTTATATTCCAGCACACTGCCAGTGTTTTCGGGATGACTGCACTGCCAATCACGCACGGGAATGAGGTTCTCTCACGCCGACCAAAAAAAATGACTGAAGATTGACACCCAGCAGAACCTTTGGGGAAGAAGCCAGTGCGGTACCTTGCAGGTGTTGGACCGTTGGAACTAATTCATGCTTTAGTTCCACTTTAAGCTGGCTATACACTAGACTAGAGCAGCATTTCTCAACCAGGGTGGGGCACCTTCAGACTTCTTCAGGGATGCCTTGGCAAAATGTCTAAAATTTCCCAAAGCTTGTATACAAGCCAGCAGGTGAAAACAAGCCTGCCTTTTAGTTACACAAAGCCACAGGTTTTCATTGTGCATCATTATGACCTTCTAGTCGCTGGCATCCTGACAACCAATGACATCATCAGTTGATAAGGAGGATGTCAGCTGCCTGCACAGCATCCTAGTTTGACCCTCCCCTGCCCCTCTCTGTCAATGCTGGGGTCACATTAGCTCAGTGATAGATAAAAACTTAGGGAGAAGAGAAACACTGGAATACTACTCAGTACCAGTGTGCAAAAGTGTATTTGTTTTGCAAGAGTAAATCCGCTCTAATGCTGGATATCCTACATGTGTGGATGTTGCTGCGTTATATAAAACTATTAGAATAGTTTTTCACATTTTAGAATGGGGTGCCTCAAGACTGTCCATAATTTTAAAGGGTGTCTTGACTAAAAAATGGACTAGAGAGTAGGGTACAAACAAAACGTAAGAATATATTCTGGATGAATGTTGTTTAAAAGTAATTTAACATTTTGCTTGCTTTTATTCGAATTTGGAATGTAATTTCCCAAACAAAAACCATATACATCATTAGAAATTAATTTGAGAAACCTTTTCCATCCTGTTCTTTTGAATGTTCTTGTCACTGCGCTCTAAAAGAAACATCGATTTCACCTCACTAATGGTTCGGAAATTGAAAAATCGTTTCTAAAATGAAAATTTAAATTTCTGCTAGTGTATAGCCAGCCTTCCAGACAAAAATTGGATTTTTTCCTACATACTTGCCTATAAAATCCATTTCTTGGAGTACATCACGGGACACAGAGCAGGCTATTCATGACTATAGGTAGAATATAACCCACATAGTCATGAATAGCCTGCTCTGTGTCCCGTGATGTACAATAAAGGAATACAAGAAAAATCAATTTAACATGTATGCAGTAAATTTTTTTGTGATACATAAAACACAGGAATAAAAATGAAACCTATGTTAGGCTTTTGTGGATTGATACTAATGACAGTAGAGACTTTATGATTTTCAGACTCAGTAGAATGCCAAAAAAAATACTACAACTGCAGCATAATGATACCTATACCTTGTTTCCATCTATCAATGATCGGTAGTTATCGGTGGAAATAATTATTGAAGCTGGCCATAAATGGATCAAAATTCAGCCGCTTCTGCAGGGACCAGTTGAATCTCAATCTATGTATGGGCAAGCTGGCTGTAAAGAAGTCGATCAATCAACTTCTCTACAACCAGCCCGGCTGTATTTTTCCGCTTGCTCAGTGCCGCCGGCTATAGCCATCAGCGCCGATCAGTGTATTCCAACAGTGGGGAAGTCTCCCTGCAGTCCTCCATCCACCTCAAAAGTCTGGATGGGGGAATCGGGTCATTTTTGTTTTGCTCACCTGCTGGTTGAACAAAAAAAATATGACTACACTATGAGTTGCTTAACACTCTTTTAAGACAGCAAGTCAGAATAAAAACCATGGCCTCAATGGCAAGCAAAACTTAAAGCTTGAACACAATTGTTTCTTTTTTTATTCAAATAGATAGCTGTCTGGTTGAGTGCATTCAAGAAAATATCAATATACTATAATTCCTGTAATTCAAAAATAATTCAATATATTAGCCTCAGCAGTAACAGTCCCCAGTATTGTAATCTGCCTTCACGTGACTGCAGGCCATTTTCCTGTTTATGCTGTGAGTCATCTGGAAAACGATTTCCCTGTGCCAGACACAATGTAGAAAACACACACTGTACTGTCATATTAGGTTAATGTTACGCAAGTCACAGCTCTGTCCAGAAGGAGCAGAAACTCCCAAACTACTGCTGTGAGCTAGGCTGCAATATAAACTCAAAGCTACCAGACTGTGGAGATAAATTCTGACCCTCATAGGGTATGTATGCACTCAGGAGCAGACTGACAACTCATGGGGCCCCCGGGCAATAGTGGATCATGGGGCCCGTGTCCTTGCCCACACTAAAAGCACACCCAAAAAGCCTATAAAAAAGGTACCAAGGGCATTTCATGGGGCCCCCTACTGACCCTGGGCCCTCGGGCAGTGCCTGAGTGCTCGAATGGTCAGTCCGCCCCTGTATGCACTAAAACCTAAAGGGGTGAATTCACACATGACCTGCATTTTTCCACACTGGATAAACACAGGTCACTGCTAGGACAGAAAGAATATAATTGTTTTCAACATATCCTATTCACACTGCAACGTACCCTGGAGGTGCGGTGCAATGAGCTGCGATAAAATGCATTTTATCACAGCGTTCTGGGTGGAATCACTATACAGTGACATTAACAAAGTGTCACTTTTGTACACTTCAAATAAAGTTCGTAAGAAAAAAAACGAGCTATGTGATATGCCCCCTACTGCCAGCTCACTGCAGCCGGAACAGACAGGGGTCTGTTCATGTGTGAACGGGCACGAATAGACAGCCTAATGCAGGGATGTGCAAGTCGTATCGCTCAGTGCCTGGGGCATGCAGTTCCAGGCACCGTGCAGGTGTTTTTTTTTTTCTTTACACTTAGCCCTGCTGCAGGAAAGTAGCAGGGTTTACTTTTTTTTGCCCCTTAACAGACAGGACATTGGAGTTTGATTTGGCTGCTCAGCATGCGCTGGTACTGAGCATGTGCGAAGGTAATTTGAAGGAACAAAGGTTTTTTTCCCCTCACTGGGGCCAGTGCTTCATTTACCTGCTCAGCAAATGCGCTTCTGCTGGGTGTTAAAGCGGAGTTCCAGTCATATTTGTGTTTATTAAAAGTCAGCAACTACAAAAACTGTAGCTGCTGGATAATACAAAAAAAAAAAGAAAATCAAACTAACTTGCTCTGTGAAATAGTGCATTCGATCAGCACATGCAGCCACCCCATTCATAACATACAGTACCTTCTAGTGGTCTGTGGTGTAATTCTACAGGTTTGCATTTATTTTTTTTTTTGAAATCACCGACCTCCTAACATGTCTGTGTTTTATTGTGCACAGTGGTGAACTCCATTTTAGGCAGGGCACCACAGTGTGACGGAGACCGCATGTGCAAAAACCCCTGTGAAGCTTTACGAGCCTGTAGAAGGAAGGAAGCCGGTCACGACTTGATGGAATGCCTGGCCACCCATAGACTTACTTTATCCCTGTACCCATAGTGAACAGGCCGTTAAGCATCTTGACTGGAGTACCCCAAGTTCGTAAGCATCTTGTATGTTAGACGGGGGTGGAAGCAGTTTTAAGCTTAGTAAGTTCTAGCCTGGAATTCCGCTTTAGGTGAATCAATCATGGAAAACCCATTGATGTTTAGATAGGTGAAAGCACTCTCCTGCTAACGCATATTGTTTCAAAGAGCGAGGCTCGGTTACAGTCTTGGGCAGTGTGACTCTAATGTCCAGGTTGTGGAAACATATATGGTTCCAGAGGAAGGTGGCCTTAAGAGTCCAGGTTCCTGTGGTTTGAGGCCCACTGGAGTCTAGACTATCGGAATGGTGTAAAGATTGTAGAAAATGCCATGCATGGTAATACTTTATCAAACTGAATAGAAATCCTGGATATGAGCTGACATGAACTGAACATGACGTACTCTTAGAAGTTACCTGTAACTTGTTTATCTGGAAGAGAAGGAATGGGAATGGCTAGTCCAAACTTCACTAGAAGACGCTCGTATAGCCAATCAAAATGCTTATATCTGTGGTTAACGGAACGATTTGTGTTCTGGAAGCAAGAAGAAAAAACAGCCATAATTAGACATTGTAATTATTAAAGTGGGGCCAAAATGAAGGCAATAGAACAGTGGTCTTCAAGAAGTGGTTAGTGTATGAAACATGGCTCTCAACAACTTTTGATGATGCTTATGATAGACACTCAGAAGGCATTATCTATCTTTTTGAATATTTACTGCTTTCAAAACTTAATATTATAGACAGAAACTGCCCAGGAAACACAATTGCAACTAAAGCCAATCTATCAATCTTTTAAAAATAGAAGCTTTGACTTAGAGGAAAGGCCATATGCATTCTGCTAATGCTTTGCTTGATCGGCTTGATTTTCTTTAGGAATAAGCCCTACTCCTGTAGCTAAGCCTTGCCCACTTACTATCTTACTTTTCAGTGACAGTTCCCGACAGCAGCTCATATTGGGTAGAGAAAGAATAGGTGGGTGTGTCTTTGTTACTAGGGTGTGGTTTTAGTCAAGAACAAAAAGTCAGAAACCTTAGTGGAATCAAAATTGGAAGGATGCTCAAATTGTATTAGAAACAGTTACAGCTTATTAAAACAATAGTAACCTGATCACAAGTACAACAATAAATAGGGAGTTGTGTACAATTGCTTAGGAACCAGTTTAAATGGGGGAGAGAAGATACTGCAATTCACAAACACAGTTGAAATGTATGTTTTCAAAAGTTTCAAACTGTTCAACCATCCTAGCAATACTACAGCGCTAGAACAGCGATGCTATTACTCATTGTGCCACTTTTTGTATCATGTACTTACTCAATGAAGAGCATTATGTCCTTCCAATACTTCCTTAAAGTGTATTTCTGCTTTTGCAGCCAAATTGGGATAACATCTACTTTATATTTGTTACATGTTTCCACTCACAGCATAACTTTAATATATAATATTTAAAAAATATTGCTTACCTTTCTATTTGCTGAAAAGTCCCACCTAGCTTTCTTCTGTTATGTAATGTTAAGGGCTGTGGAAGTTGATGTTTACCATAATTAACCCTGTCTGTATTGTGCTGGCAAATATTCATGATCAGTTGTAAACTAGATGTCCACACTATCTGTCCTAAAAAAGGATTAAGGATCTCATGGCTTGGGTTTGATTTTATGTTTATTTTTCCCTGATGTGTTTCCAATATTTGCCCAGTGAAAGCTATTGTGAACAATACAAGCTGCCTATAGTGTCCTATGCATAAACCTGCTTTAAATAAATGACTAGAAAGGAAAAATATTTTTTAATTAATTTTAGGTATGCTGTGCGAATGGGAACACATAACAATATATAGTGGGGGGGGGGGGGGGTCTCAAAAAGGACTGCAAATGTGGAAATAAACTTTAACGCTTTAACGTGGCATTAAACATGTCTTACTTACCTGCTCTGTGCAATGGTTTTGCACAGAGAAACACCGATCCTCTTCTTCTCGGGTCTCCAACCGGCACTCCTGGCTCCTCCCCCTTAACTAGTGCCCACAGCTGGCTATGGGGGCACTAGTGCGTGCTCGCTCACTAGCCCGGCTCTGTGTCCAGAAGACACACAGAGCTGCGCCTCAGCCCCACCCCTGCTCTCTCCTCATTGGCTCACTGCCTGTGATTACCAGCAGTGGGAGCCAATGGCTCCCACTGCTGTCTAGGCAATGAGAAGAGGGAGTCCTGGAACAGCCAAGGCTCTTGTGCACATCACTGGATCGAGAGGGGGCTCAGGTGAGCATTAGGTGGGGGGTTGTGGGGGGAGCAGCACACTTAAGGTTTTTTTAACCTTCATGCATAGAATGCATGAAGATGAAAAAAAACCTTCAGCCTTTAAAACCACTTTAACCACTTCCAGACCGGACACTTTTACCCCCTTCCTGACCAGGGCAATTTTCAGCTTTTAGCGCTATCACACTTTGAATGACAATTTGCGCGGTCATGCAACACTGTACCCAAATGAATTTTTTACCATTTTTTTGAGATAGATAAAGCTTTATTTTGGTGGTATTTATTCACCACTGGGATTTGTATTTTTTTTGCTATGTAAATGAAATGTCCAAAAATTTTGTAAAAAAGTGTTTTTTTTATAAAATTTTGCAAATAAATAATATTTCATCATAAATCTTAGCCAAAATTTATTCCGTTATCTTTTTAGTAAAAAAAAAAAATCCAAATTAGTTTATAAGCAAAAATTATAATTTTTAAACATTTTTTTTACATTTTTATTTTATTTTTTTATATTATTATTTTTTATTTTTATTTTTATTTTTTTTTTTACATACTGTCACCCCAGCAGTACAGTGTCACCATGGTGACACTGTAGTACTTGTGAGGGGTGATGAAGATTTTTTTTTTTTTTTTTTTACACTGATTGCTTTTTACACCCATATAGGATGTAAAAGCAATCATTTCTCTTTCTCTGTGTGCATTCTTGCACTCATTGAGAAGAACTGAGTGAGCTGTGATTGGTCACAGCTTGTCACATGGTACAAGGCTTTTGTGAATAGCCTTGTACCATGTGACCTCTGTGATCATTCACAGATTTCATACATAGTAAGCAATGATGTCAGAAGTGACATCTTGCTTACTACTTTGCATGTGATCACTGATTGGCCAATCAGTGATCACATGATCGGGACCTCGTACAGAGGTCCCGTCCGACGATCGGTGTTTCACTGTGTCCGGAGGACACAGCGGGCACCGGATCGCGGTGCTGCGCGCTCCCAGGGAGCGCGCACAAGCAGGGTGCGGGGCGGCCGTTTATAGACGGCCACCCAACCCTGCAGTGCCACCGTCTGGCCGTTTATATACAACGGCCGGTCGGGAAGTGGTTAAGCTACCTAAACACTTCTCGTCCCCATCTTGGTCTGAAAACATATTACATAATACAGCGCAAGGCAACAGAGTATATTGTTCAGTGCATGTAACCACCCTCTCTAAGGCTGGCCATATACTGGAAAAATACAAATAAAAAAATAAATAAATAAGATTCCTTCATCCACGCTAATAGCATGGATAGACACATCTTCCCTTCCAGTCTATTGTATTCTGACAGCTACAGCCCAGTTTCAGACCGTTCTACTAGCAGTATGTTATAATACACCATATATTTTATTTTTTGATAAACAAGTCTATACTGTTGTAGTAAAGGGAGTTTTAACCTGGATTCCTACCTAATTTTCCAGTCAGCAGATGGATTTTAAAGCACGTGATGCTCAATGCATCCCAAAGCCAATATATTATTTTAAAAGAGTTTCAACCTCCACATGGTGCTAATATTAAAAACAACTCTGGGGAGGCCACATTCCAAAGAAAATATATGACATGTGTTTAACATATGTTACCAGTTGTTGTGCTCACTTACTGTTGTTGTTAGCTGGTATTCAATATAGCTCTTCAGGCCGTACATTTTGGATCCCTTCTTAGGATCAGCCACAATGCAGTCGAATGTTGCGGTTGGGTAGACCCACATTGGCCCATAATCTCCAATCTGCAAACAATGTTTTTATTACAGATTACTACCATGAATGAAAAAAAAAAGACTTGTGTATGCTACACAAATGTTACTGAAAACACAAACTCATACTGTATATTAAATATAGCAGATCTGATTAAATAGCTTGTTAACAGAAACAAATGATCTGAACAACCTGCTGATATTTTGAGGATCTGACCATGTCCTCTCGCACAACCTCTCTAAAAAAGACAATAGTTGGTGGTCATCCCTTAGCAAGTAATCTGATAACTGACAAACACATATACAAATCTACATAGAGACTACAGCACAATAGAAAATTAACTAAAATATTACAATACATCTCAGCTGTAGATGCAATTTTGGGACTACGGAGGAGGGGGACTTTCAGGTCTCCCCGATCATGAGTTAGATCAAGCATTAAATGAGTTTTCCCTCAAGTGCACTCTGTTGAGGATGGGGAATGCCTACAGATATACAATTTAATATGTATGTACAAGAACACAGAACTGCAGCGGCGATGGAAAATTTTCACGCGTTCTTTCAACAGAAGCTGAAAAAATATTCGACTTCTGTTGAGTCGAGAGATCCAAACATTGATTGAAAATTCACCCTCTCAATCATCAGTTTAATCCTTATGCTGCTAGCATTAGTAAATAAGGTAGGAAAGTATACATTCTTACCTGTTTTAACTTTTTTTTTACATTTCTTCAGTTACTTCCTGGTTTCCATGCCTATTCAAATAATGTCATATATCCCAGCAGTCTTCAGGAGAGGAGAAGGGGTTTTCTTAGCTAAGCACACCCTCTTGCCTGCACACCTGAGCTAAGGGCGGATGGATTCCAGGAAGTAAATGCTACATGAATCCCTTGTCCTTACTCAAAATGGTCACTGCCAGAAGTGATTTCTCAGCAAAGCAAAACATGGAGACATGGATGGATGGGGGAGTTTACTTTGAATACAAAAAATGATCTAAATAGTGTTTGATTGTGGTGCTCAGATGCAGTGTAGTTCCACTTTAACACGGTTACAAGTCTATATCTGTACAATATACAGTAAATAAAAAGTAAACTATTGTATTACACATGTAAGCACCTTAATTTTATAGGAGACCTTTTCTTTTAGCTAAGAAGCATGAGATCTTGCTACTAATTAAAATCAGAATATATTAAAAAGAATGCAAATGTGAATTAAAATACCATATATTTGGAAAAAATACAAAAGGTGGCAAAAATGCTTTCTTTACAGAAAGACTTAGGTAGAAAAGCACTCCCTATTATTCAGTTAATGTGGACCTATAGAAAAAAAAAAAGCACACTACTCCCATGAAAAAAAATAATAGTTTCAGTCCAGAAATACTAACTGACTGACAGTTTTTTAGACACTTCTACTTCTTTGCCATGGCTGAGGCTTGAGGAGAAGGTATTGATTGTTTGCCTCTGCAAGTGTGAGAAAGGAAGTAGGCCGTTCCAATGAACAAGTAAATATCTTTGGCCTGTAACTGTGATTTTTTTTTTTTTTTTGCAAAAAAGAAACTGTATAGTTTTAGTCAAATTCTGAATTTAGGTCCAAAATATCAGTGAAAGATGCACACTAAAGCTGGAGATACACAGATTTTTTTTTTTTTTTAGTTGAACCAGCGGCCTGAACGGATAAAAAAAAAAAACAACAAAAAAAGTACAGATTCCTGCATCCACACAAATGATGTGGATCACTCCTTCTGCGTTATTGTATTATGACAGCAGGGAATCCCCTACTCCCCTTCCCCATCTGAATATACTGATCAGTGCTGCTGGTCAAATGCTGGTTTTCCAGCAGGACTGTTCAACAGATTGGGCTACACACAGATTAAAATTCGGCTGGATCAACAGAAATTTTGAAATACCCAGCTTTACATATACAAAATTGGGAATCAATCAACATGGCTCCCAATCATGTGATCACCATGACATCCAATCATGGTAAACACACAAACAAACCTGCCTGCTTAGATATCACCGTGCAATCCAGTAAATAAAAAATGTACCGTATTTTCCAGCGTATAAGGCGACTGGGTGTATAAGACGACCCCCTAATTTTCCATTTAAAACATAGGTTTTGGGCTATACTCGCCGTATAAGACTACCCCCCTTCTGAGGCAACACCATTTAAAAACATCAGATTTTTTAATTGAAATGGTTATGCCTTACCGGTACTTAAAATCCTTCAAAATCCTCATGTTCATCCTCTGACATCATAAGTTCATGAATGACATCTTGTGATACATTTGTAAGACAGTCATCATATGGATCAAATTCCAAATCAGATGGTTACCGCTGGATGTGCGGTAATACGGTAGCTTCGGCTACATACAGTATACAGTATATATACAGCCCGCTGGGTGCAGTAATGTACATACAGTATACCGCGCTGAGCCAAGCTGCCTCAAAACAAATGTCCCTATGAAAGATTAATCTGTCAGCCCGCTGGATGTGTGGTATATACAGTATACTGAGCCAAGCTGTTTCAAAACGTACTGGTACGTCCCTACGGTAATCAGCCCGCTGGATGTGTGTATGTACAGTAGTTGAGGCTACATACAGTATACTATGGGCCAATCACAGCAAGCGATGTATTCTACTAATGAATACAAAGCCTGCTCGGATTGGCTGAGGTTGTGACATCATCAGCCCACCTCTCTGACTCAGCCAATCCGAGCAGGCTTTGTATTCATTAGTAGAATACATCACTCGCCGTGATTGGCCCAGCGTTTACTGTATGTAGCCGCAGCTACCGTACATACACACATCCAGCGGGCTGATTACAGTAGGGACGTACTGGTACATTTTGAAACTGCCTGGCTCAGTGCAGTATACTGTATATATCGCACATCCAGCGGGCTGACAGATTAATCTGTCATAGGGACATTTGTTTGGAGCCAGCTTGGCTCAGCACGGTATACTGTATGTACAGTATTACCACACATCCAGCCAGCTTGACCCAAACAAACTCAAGGTTCACATTTTTATACCCCGCGTATAAGACGACCCCCAATTTTTGGGGTATATTTTTAAGTATAAAAAGTAGTCTTATACGCCAGAAAATACTGTATTTTTAAAATATAGGAACTTTAGGCTACAGATCCTATTCTTCCCGCCGCGCAGGGTTTTTCAATTTAATATTTTTAAAACTTATGTGCAAAATATTAAACAATGCATTCAAACATTTCTGTCCACTTGTCACTTTATAATAAAAAAATATGAGCAGGGTATTTGGTAAAACAATGTACCAATAAACATTATAGTATATATACAGCTTATAGAAATATTAAAATGATTTAGGTAAGCAAATCAGTCTTAAAATTATCATGAGGTTAACCAATGTATACTGGGAATATGGTCATGAAAGTGTTTAGCAACTCTGAATACGAAAACAATGTAGCTCAGCCAACTTACAATAATGGAGATTTTCTCTTTGGGTTTTGCTGTCTGTTTAGATAACAGATACTGTTCAACTCCTGATTTTCCAAAGCCAGGAAATCTGTCAAAAGAAAATTAAAATGAGGGAACAGATAGTCGCCAAGCTAGAATCAATTGTACAGCACATACAGTATATAAATCATAAGGAGGTTTATTTTAGCGTGAAAACTTTCAGTTTAAATACCTATCACAGAATTAAAGAGTAAGGGCTCGTTCACACCATGGTGTAGAGATGTCAGTTTTTCGGCACGCATTCTACAAGGGCACAACAAAATCAATTGCTCTCTATGTGCCCTGTTCACACCACAACACTTGTATCATGTGCAGATTTTTCCTGCGCAGAAATCTGCAATATGTATACAGCTCATTTAGGTGCGCATGAAAACTCATGTCTCTGCAAGTGATATCTGTGTTTCAGTTTCCATCAGTTTTTCTGCACATATGGTGTGAACAAGGCCAGAAACACAGCTGCTCAGAAAGAAGAACATCTTCATTTGGAGTCAGTTAAAATTAATTTAAATGATTTAAAGTGTATGTAAATCTCAAGACAAAACCTCTCTTATTTGATCCATGTTGGCCTTTAAAAGTGTTTTTTTTAATCTACAGGTGTACCTCAGTTTACGAACGCCCCAGTTAACGTAATTTTTTCGTCTTTTGAATTAAAATCTATTGAAAATAATGCCTCGGTTTACAAATATTTTAATAATTTTTTTTTTTTTGCAATACGTAGTGTATGTCGGTGCTGATTTTTAAATGCAATTGCCGGCTTCTTTTTTTTCTTCACTATAGCTCACAGAATTAGCAGTCACTTTCCCCGGAGCTAAAGGATACTTTTTTTCTTTTATCTCAGGAAACAAACTAAAAGGAAACAGAATAAGCAGTATTCAGTCCCTGGGACATGAGGTGCTGGCAGCGGCGGAGGAGCAGCTGAAAGTGCTAGAAGTGACAGAGGAGTTCGGGGTACATTTGGCTGAGCTGACAGTTGACCCACAAGGTGCCCTGGCCATTAGACAGGAGTTATTCATTTATAGAACCTGCTTGATCCAGCCATCCCAAAGATTCCAGAGAAGGGAGATCCTGTATTTAGGCACCTGCACCTATCCATCCCTTAAAGGGACCTCTGGCCAGCTGGATCTCCATACTACCCTGTGTGTTCCTGATACTACCACCCACCCAGAGGGAGGATTATCTCCATGTGTTCCTGACCAGATTAACTGCCCTGAGGGAGCATTTTCTCCATCCCATCCAGGAGGCTTCTGCTGATTTTTCATAATGAACATTTACATTATGCATCTGGTGAGTGCATAATCTCTCTATAACACTTGGAACACCACCACGGATTTAAAGAGGAACACCTATCACTATATAGATTGTCACCTTTAATTTAAATACTATTGGTTATATATAACTACATGCTGCTTATTAAAATTGGGAATATTGCCCCATTTACAGATGGCTAAAAAGATCAATGGTGCCTTATCTAAGATGTTAGAAAGGCTATCAGTGTTTCATCTACAGATGAAAGATTATTGGTTACTGTATCTAAGAAACAGAAATTTCTCTTCGCTCAATGAACCCCTAGCATGCTCTGGAGGAACCCCAGCTGAGAAAGGGTTTTTAATATAACCACAATAATTCCATAGTGTAATCAGAACTGTGCTGCCTGAGCAATTACTTTAAAAAGTCAACTCCAGATAAGCACCCTCCCAATCCTGTCCAATGACAGAGGAAGGTGAGGAGATCATGCTCACGTGTGGAGAGGGTAAGTTGTGTTTATATAAACTTTCTTTTTTTTTTTTTTAAAATGGGAATGAGGGAGTTAAGCTTTATGATATAAAAAAATGTGAAAGCGTAAAAATGTATATTGATAGCCAGAATTCCTAGGTCATGATTACAGTGTCCCCTGGAAGAAAGATCCACTCTCTCATTCTGTTTATCCTTGTCTTCACTGCCCACATTACTCCTCAGCTTCAGGCTAGGTTCACAGTTTGAACATTTCTGGAAGGTCCTGCCTCCAAAAAGGGATGTGAGGAGATCCTTTTGAAGGGCATCCATTACTACCCTTTGTCAACCCAACGTCAAAGGTGGCCCACCCAGCTGCTTGTTGTAGCTAAGAGGCTAAAAAGTAACGTTTGGCATAAGGTACAGCGAGGCCTTCTGCATCTTTCGGAAGTTAAAGGGTTTTTGATCTCAGCCTGGCTGTGTTTCCAAATTGAATCTTTAAACAACAAATCAATCCATCTAAACATTGTTTGAGGGATTCTCCCAGGTGGACAGGAACACACTCAGGAATTGTGGCAGGATGAATCCCTGTTGGGTGTATCCAAGTCATATTAGCAGTCACCCACCAGGCTACACCTATAACTAAATTATAACTCTTGACCTATGCAAATGACAGGTTCATAATGAATCTTTTCCTGAGAAGAAATATTAAAGGCACAGGAAAAAGAATACACCCTCACCTGGGAGTCCCTGCAACCCAGATACCCGGAATACAAAGCAGTATACAGTTTTTAATCAATAAAGCCTACACAAAGCTTTTATTTGACACTAACAGTACTTGATCATAATATTGTTAATTGTAAACCAAAAAAATTCACTACAGCTAAAGTAACAGTCAAAGTCTTCCTTAAACAGTGAAATGAAAATTCTTCATGTGGCATTCCCATTACATTGTCCACCTTGTATTATGTTATTAAAGTGACTGTGTCAGCATTCTAAAAGTCCAAATACTGTATGCTTTGTAGTGATGTGCAGTAGAGGTCAACAGCCAGAAGGAAACACAAAGCACTATGAGGACACAGTAGTCTGACACCCCAGGAAGTGTTGGTTTCTGCAATGACTTCAGTCAGCTATTCTCCCAAATTGGAGCAACATTTGCATCCTGGACTTCAGAAGAGACAATTATTCTCATTCCTCTTTACCAGGGCAGTTTGGACTTTAAGATTGCTGAGTCACTTTAAGAAACCACTATTGTTTGTAATAAGACCACTTATACAAAAAGGCTGCATTCTGATAAGTAGGGAATAAGTTAACCCCTTGGCGCCGACATCACACAAATATGAAGCCTCACAGAACTGGGCTTTTTTCTGTGGGCTGCATATTTGCATGTACGGCATGCTTCCAGCAGATAGACTGGGGTGTCACTGGAGAGCCCAGAGTCCCATTTTAACGATCTAACGAACTCCTGATTCTGGGTCACATGATCGCTGTGATAGCCTTTCATTGGCTATCACAGTGATCACTCACTCTGAAGCCCGCCCCTTGTTTTTGTTCCTTTCTGAATGGAGGAGAAATATATATTGCATCTCTCTCCTTGCAGAGAGAAAAAAAAAGTGTGTGTAAATAATAAAGAAAAATACCTAGATCAAGGTTTGCTCTAGTTCAGTGCCAGGGTTAGTGTTTGGTTTACGATCAGGGTCAAAGGTCAGGATTTTTTTTTTTTTTTTTTAAATTGGTATCAGTGTCAGTGTATTTTAGGTAGGACCAAAAAAAAAGCAAAATGTGCACCATAGTTTCTGGGCTGTGCTACAGGTACAAACAATAAATAACAGACATATGTGGTATTGCTGCAATTATCAAGAGCTGGAGAATTTATTTTGGGTTGTTCTTTGGTGGAAGGTTATGGCAGTAACAAGAAACACACAGCTACAATAAAGAAAAAAAATTATAGATTTTTTTTTTTTACTATTTTGGGCCTGTTTTCCTTTGAGAATAAGAAACAAAATCAGGAGATATCCATTACCATTTATCATCAAATAAAAGCCCAATTTGTCCTGAACAAAACAAGGTATAATTTACCTGGATGAACAAAGTAGTTGTGATGATATGTACGGTTTTACAAACACATGTCAAAGTTGTGAAATTTTCCTTAGACATTAATATTTGTTTTACCCTTAGATGTGAAGGGGTAAAGCAGTATTACACCCAAAACTTTAGATGTGGTGGCTGTATTTGTTTTCTTTTTTAGGCTTTCTTTCCTCTATTTTCACCTGGTGATCTGGCCAGCAAGTATGTCATTTAAAAAAAAAAAAAAAAAAAAAAAAAAAAAAGCAAGCTGTTCCTAAGATGTAGAGGTTACAGGGATAAGACAAACCAGTTAACACTGACAGGGGTGCTTACAATGGTAAGCTTATATTTATGTAAAACCTATATCCCAAAAGGAAAAAGCTGTTTGCTCTAACTGCTGATATTAGCTGGAGTTTGGCTTCAATTTGTTAGTGCATCTAAATTTGCTAGTACATCTAACACTCCTCCCCCAGATTAACAATGCTGCTGTCCAAAGGTGCCCCCCCTGTGTGCCTTTATCCAGAGTGGGGGCACTCTAATACAAGAGATGTGTTACTGGCCAGATCAATAGGTGAAAACAGAGGGAAAAAAGCCTAAAAAAGAAAACGAATGCAGCCATCTAATGACTGGTAAGCTGCAATATATTACATTTCTGATTTTGGGTTTAATACCACTTTAACATTATTCAATGCATTTATTCCTTTTTTATTTTATGTCTCTATTTGTATTTATTTGGGTTACGGTTGATTTACTCAATCTGGAGCGTGTAAAATCTGGTGCAGCTGTGCCATGGTAGCCAATCAACTTCTAACTTCAGCTTGTTCAATTAAGCTTGACAATGAAGCCTGGAAGCTGATTCGTTTTTAATGAAAAGCTGCACCAGATTTTGCACTCTCCAGTTTTAGTAAATCAACCCCATTGCCTGTGTCCTTTACTGTACGAGAAAGAAATAGTTGTCGCTGAATCACTTTCACGTTTGTAAAAATATGGCAAATATGAGCAGAGAAACGGCCACTGAAATGGATATCGCTTTTTAGGAAGAGTAAAAAATAAATCCCAAACAAATACTAAATAGTGTGTAAACTCAGGTAATAGACAGGGTTAGACCTCAGATAAAATCTGACAATCAAACTGAAGAAATAGACTCAAAGAGGCATACTTATAAAGCAGGGAATGTGACTTTCAGCAAACATTCACTGGTGCTGAATAAAACACATGCACCAGAAAGAACCACCTGCAACAAATGTTTGAATGTCATATCCCCTGCTTTATAAATATAACCCAAAAAGTGTACTGGTAAATCAGGAGCAATTATAAAAATGTAATCTAAAACTTCATGGATACTACACAGAAACACAGAAAAGTGATGGCAGAAAAAGACCAAGTGGTCCATTGAGTCTGCCCGTCTTGGTTTCTTTGGGGGGTCTTTTATGTGGGTTTTTTTTTTACTTTTTTTGTCTGAGTATAGATCTATGCTTGTCCCACGCATGCTTGAAGCTATTTACTGTTGACTGACTCACTACCTTAGCTGGAAGTTTATTCCAAGCATCAACTACTCTTTCAGTAAAATAGTATTTTCTGAGATTAGTTTTGAACTTTCCTCCAGTTAGTTTAAGGCAGCAATGGGCAAACTACGGCCCGGCGGACCTTTTAATCCGGCCCGCAGAGCGTGATACATTGGCTGTCAGGATGTGTGTAGGCAGGGCAGCGTGACGAACGTGAGGGGAGCTAGGCTCCTCTCACAGTCCGCCCTGAAGACCGGAACGGCGCGGGAACACGGCGAGAGGAACGCGTGGAGCAAAGGTAAGTGAATTGACACAGGGGGGACTTGGCTTACTACTTGGGGGGGAATAGTACTATGGGGGATGAATTAATATGGGCAATGAATTACTATAGGGGGGATGAATTACTATATGGGGGATGAATTACTATGGGGGATGAATTACTATATGGGGGATGAATTACTATATGGGGGATGAATTACTATATGGGGGATGCATTTACTATTTATGGGGGATGCATTACTATGGGGGATTTATTACTATGCTTACTATGGGGGAATATTACTATACTTACTATGGATGACACATACACATCATTCATCTACTCTTGGTCCGGCCCCCGGGTCCAATATATGAACCCATTGCGGCCCTCAAGTCAAAAAGTTTGCCCACCCCTGGTTTAAGGTCATGTCCCGTGTTCTTGATTTTGGTTTCATGTTGAAAATATTGCCCTCCTGAACCTTATTCCATCCCTTGATGCATTTAAAGGTTTCAATCATGTCTCCCCTTTCCCTTCTTTCCTCCAGACCGTACATTTTAAATTCCTGAAGTCACTCTTGATATGTTTTATTCCCCAGACCTTTCACCATTTTTATTACCCATCTCTGGACTCATTCTATCTTATCAATATCTTTTTGTAAGTGAGGTCTCCAGAACTGAACACAGTATTCTACATGAGGACTAACTAAAGACCTATATAGAGGAATCAGGACCTCCTTCCTCCTGCTGGTGACCCCTCTAGTGATGCATCCTACAATTCTATTTGCTTTCCCCACTGCCTTGTCACACTGTTTGCTCATTTTGCAATCATCAAAAAGAAGCACCCCCAAGTCCTTTTCCTCTGAAATGCTGGCCAACAAAGTACCGCAAAAGGTTGTACTGTCTCAAAGGATTCTTTTTCCTTAGGTGCATTATTTGACATTTAGAAACATTGAACTGCAATTTCCACTTTTTTTACCAATCATCCAGCAGTGCCAAATCACGTTCCATTTTACAAACACCTCCAGGAATATCAACCCTATTGCACACCTTTGTGTCACCAGCAAAAAGACATACCTTACCCAACAAACCTTTAGTTATATCACTCACATATAGATTAAATAGAACAGGCCCTAGTACAGAGCCTTGTGGTAGACCACTAGTGTCTGGTCTCTTTTCTTGCATCATGCAAATAGTGTATTTGTTTATTGTGAAAGCGAAGCTGTCTCTTAAATGCGATGAAATAGACCAATGTATGCGATTTAATACCATGTACTGTATATAGGTTAAAGTGGTATTAAATTCAAAACCAAAAATTTTAAATATTGCAGCTTACCAATCATTAGATGTGGTGGCAGCATTCATTTTCTTTTTTTAGGCTTCCCCCCCTGTTTTCACCTGGTGATCTGGCCAGTAACACACCTTCTTTATTACATGCCTCCATTCTGGATGAAGAAGCACAGGGGGCACATTTGGACAGCAGCATTGTCAGTCTGGGGGAGGAGAGTGTTAGATGTACTAGCAGATTTAGATATACTAACAAATTGAAGCCAAACTCCAGCTAACACTCTTTAAGCAGTTTTTTTTCCTTTTGGGCTAATGGTTTAACATATATAAAAGGTGACCATTGTAAGCGCCCCCTGTCAGTGATAAATGGTTTGTCTCAACCTGCTAACTGCTACAGCTGCAGGGCAACTTGTTCTGTTGAAAAACAACAGACTTCCTGGCCAGATCACCATGAAAATAAAAGAAATAAAGCAAAAAAAAATATATATATATATATAATGCAGCCATCACGTCTAAGAATCGGTAAGCTGCAATAAAATAAATGTTTGCTTTTGGGTTTAACATTGTTTTACATATGATAATATTGGTTGATTACAATTGTAAAATTATGCAAAGGAAATGTTAACCTATTTTAGGTCTTAATTATGCATTATATTACAATTATTCCCACTATAATAGAAACTAAGAAAGAATAACACACAAATCATTCTTCTTTGTCCAGCCTAATATATTAATGCATAGAGATGTACTTGTTAAGAGGTATCCTCATGGAGGTCGGTCTTCCTGTTCCCCGTTGAGCTGCTCCAGGGTCAGAGGTCTCCGAATCTTTGTAGCCAAGGAACCCAGGAGGAGAGGATTTGGGATCGTCCCAGTCATCATCCCACTCATCATCATCAACAGCTGAAAAGAAGGGAAGACTTTATTTGGACATCATAGGAACTCTTAAAGGGAAGCCTCACATATGTTGTTTTCAGACAACACCAAGTACCACAACTACCACACTGGGAATCATCTGATTTTGTTGCATGTTTTCAGTGAGTAGTGGAAATTATTGGCCAGAATATATTATCCTATGACATTTTTGGCATGACGGAGTTATTGCCTTTGGTATTTTTGTGACAGTACTTTTATTCATGAAAATGTAGTAACTGTTGCTGTATACATTTCACAGATAGTTATGGTTACTGTTGGAGAAGAGGTTAGGATCAAGTTAGAGGTTCATTTTAGGGGTTCAGCTCAGTTTAGGGTTATGGCTTAGGTTTAGAAGTCCAGTCTGCAGCAATCTATATTTTTATACTACTGCTGGAGTCAGAAGAGTCAGCACACCACTGCAGTAACACCCAGTCAAGAGTGACTGACATAATGCAGTACCCATGCCTAACTAATACACACAGTTTTTCCTAAATGTGAGCAGCAAGACAGTAAGCCAGGTGTTCTTTGTTAGGCTAGGTTCACACCTATGCAGGTTGCATTTGAGCTGTTTCTGCATTGTGTTTTTGATGCATTTTTTTTCTTTTTTTAAATTTTTCTTGTTGCTAGGCAGAATTAAAACTCAAACGCGGCAAAAACACCTAAAAACCGCAATACATGCTTTTCTGCAGCGTTTCCATTGAAGTCCATAGAACCAAAAACACAACTTGTTGCATTAAAAAAGTCCCTGACCCTTTCCAAAAAACGCACCGGGTGAAAACGCACAGATGTGAACATGTCCCATAGGAAATCATGTTAAATGGACTGTACTGAGTTTCTGCAAAATGCTGCAGAAAATTCTTAGGCGTGAACCTAGGGTTACATGTGTTTGTAGTCCAGATCATGCTGCACAGACACCAGTCTGAGCTCCCCTTTCACGCTCTGTACTGCTCATTTATAAGCCGATAACATGGCACACATCAGGTAATAAAATAAGGAACACATCAAGTCAACAGTGCTCACTGAGAAACAACACTGCATTCACGTACAGGAACAGTGCAGTAATACTCAGTTGACAATGTTAGCTGCAATTCCCATGCCCCAGGTAGGATTCAGGGTGCAGAGGGGGCAGGTTCTACAGTACGTTTTTCTCATCCAGATGAAACTGACATTGGAAATTGAGTGCACCACATAGGACACAGCTGCTGTGACTGACACCCCCTGAAGCCAAGGGGGCATGTAAAAGACAGTCTAAAGCCACCCATAGCTGTACATTGCTCGAAATTCAGCCAATTCAGCAGGGACTGGCTGAATTTCAATCCATGTATGGGCAGGGTGGTTGTACAGAAAGCGATCTACCAATCGACTTCTATACAACAGCTCTGTTGTAAAATGTCCGCTCAATCAGCGCCATTGGCTATAGCTGGCAGCACTGATCAGTGTATTCTGACGGCGGGTTTCCCCACTGTCAGAATACAAATGCACAGCAGGAGGATTCCCCCATTCACCTAGGATGTGTAGATGGGGGAATCAGGTCATCCTTTTTTGTTCAACCCACTGATTGAGCATAAAAAAAAAAAAAAGAAAAAAAAAAAAAAACAGACAATTTATCAACTATGGGCTGCCTAAATCTGAATGCATCCTGACCGTATTTAGTTCAAGTGCTAATGAACCAGCTAAATTCAATCAATTGGTTAACTTGTTGGCACCACGCCACCTGGCATCCGTTGACCAAACAATCAAAGGACTCGGGCAGAAATTTGTTAGCCAAACAATGCCTCCATCTAATGAGACGCAGGCACTTTTTGAGTATTCTTTTTTACTTAATCAGTTTTTAATAAAATTATAGAGTGCATCGATTTTCTGTTATTGTAATGGAGTGAACCTCCTGCGCTCAGAATAAATCCCAACAAAAATAATACAGAGAAGCTGCTAACATTAAATCATATACCAATGATCAGAGGATTTGAGTATGGAAACAAAATGTAGCGCTACTCGGATATATTCCTATATAAAAGTGGACAAATAAAAACCTGGTAAATAAAATATCAAATAAGTGAAATAGTGTGTCCACTTAGGTGAAATCATGCAAATAACTAATGATACAATAGTGTGAGCGGATCTAAGCTCCAATAGTGATGGTGAAAACAAAATCCTTCCAACTGAAAAAATAAATAAATAAATAAATAAATTCAACTGCAAACAATATGTGCATCTAAGAGTGTGTGTGTATATATATATATATATATATATATATATACACACATACATACATACATACACACACACCGGTACATACATACATACATATATATATATATATATATATATACACACATATATACCGTATTTGCCGGCGTATAAGACGACTTTTTGACCCTTGAAAATCTTCTCAAAAGTCGGGGGTCGTCTTATACGCCGGTACACATGTTAGGGGGGCTGCGGCATTAAGTACAGGGGTTTGCAGGGGCTGACGTCTCTTACCTGGATCCAGTCCCACGACGATCCGGTCCAGGAAGCGCGGCGTCTCCTTCAGTTCGGCCACTGGATGTTCGTGCGGCTGCGCGGCTCCGCCTCCTCACCGGTGATTGGCCGCCAGAACTGTAGCTCGGGAAAGGCACACAGGCGGCCAATCACCGGCGAGGGGGCGGAGCCGAGCAGCCCCGCGAAAATTGAGTGCCGGAGCAGCAGGTAAGTGCTCTGTGTAGAGGTGCTGCTGCAACCACATATGCTGGCTGCAGCAGCACCGTACTAGAACAGGGTCAGCAAGTGTCAGTGGGAGGAATAGTGCCCCATCATTGGTGTCACTGATACCAACGATGGGGCACTATTCCTCCCACTGACACCAACGATGGGGCACTATTCCTCCCCCCCACTGACACCAACGATGGGGCACTATCCCCCCCCCCCCCCACTGACACCAACGATGGGGCACTATTCCACCCCCCACTGACACCAATGATGGGGCACTATTCCACCCCTCACTGACACCAATGATGGGACACCATTCCTCCACCCACTGACACCAATGATGGGGCACTATTCCTGCCACTGATACCAATGATGGGGCACCTATTCCCCCCACTGATACCAATGATGGGGCACTATTCCTCCCACTGACACCAATGATGGGGCACTATTCCTCCCACTGACATCAATGATGGGGCACTATTCCTCCCACTGACACCAATGATGGGGCACTATTCCTCCCACTGACACCAATGATGGGGCACTATTCCTCCCACTGACATCAAAGATGGGGCACTATTCCTCCCACTGACATCAATGATGGGGCACTATTCCTCCCACTGGTGTGCATTGGAAGAGGGGTAGTCTTATACGGCGAGTATAGCCCAAACACTACATTTTAGCAGGAAAAGTAGGGGGGTCGTCTTATACGCCCAGTCGTCTTATACGCCGGCAAATACGGTACATATGAAAGGTGTACATTAACACATAAATATACTTAGAAATACCCCATATAGTGAATAAATCAAAACAATGTGCATATATGTGAACCAAGTAAGTGCAACTGCACACAAAGTCTATTTCTATGCGTATAAAGTCCAAACACAAGAATGATCGCACTCGTTTTGACTCGCAAGGGTCGAGTCTTTAAGGTGAGAAGCTGATTCAGCCGGCGGTCGGATGATCTTCTGCCCAACTACCAACCCACTTCTTTACACAAATATCAGCACGAGTGTTTTTTTTCATCAGAGTGCGATCATTCTTGTGTTTGGACTTTATACGCACGGAAATAGACTTTGTTTGTGTGCAGTTGCACTTACTTGGTTCACATATATGCATATTGTTTTGATTTATTCACTATATGGAGTATTTATAAGTATATTTATGTGTTAATGTACACCTTTCATATGTATATATATATTCTTAGAAGCACGTATTGTTTGCAGTTGAATTTATTTTTTCAGTTGGAAGGATTTTGTTTTCACCATCAATATTGGAGCTTAGATCCGCTCACACTATTGTATCATTAGTTATTTGCATGATTTCACCTAAGTGGACACACTATTTCACTTATTAGATTTTCTGTTATTACTTTTTATAACTTAAGAGTAAATCCATAGATTAATTTGCCTCTGGCGTACCCTATGATCCAGGTTGACCTATACCTTGACTTACTACATATAAATTTAGAAGGCCACCTTAAAACGGAACCACTAAACTATATGATATGCTTTCCTTTGCCTCTACCTCTTTGTACATTTTATTCCATCTTTGCTAAATTTTTATCCATTTTATCTGTTTGTTATTTACAAAAAAACTTTTTTCTTTTCACAAAGTATGCATTAATATGGTCCACTGTGTCAGAAACTGCCTTTCGGAGATCTGTGTGACCTGTTGGTTTTAGGTTTGACTACCTGGTCTCAAAACTTGGTTTAGATACAGGTAGTTGTAAAAAATGTTGACACTAGGAACCTGTACCGATCTGATTGATCTCTGTTATATAATATTTGTAGATCTTATGCTGAGATCTGTCGGATCGTGTACTTTTGGATATGTTTGAAAATGTGTTCCTGGATCTGAGAATGCTGTACTTACCAATTTGTCAATAAAAATGTTATTGACAAAAAAAAAAAAACCGCTAACGCTCGGCAAACGCCGCATGCGCGGTTTAGCGGTGGTTGCTAGGCTTTTGCCAAGCTTTAAAAACGCCCCACAAACGCCTATAATGAAGTTTAAATGGTGTTACCGCTCCGCAAACGCCCTGCAATCGCGTCGCACAAACCACGCCGCAAACACTGGCCGGGCGTTTGTGGAGCGGCACCATAGACTAGAATAGGAGACTTCAACGCCTCCTGACTCGACCAGAGGCATCCATTTTGCCGTGACGCGACGCTAATGCTCCCGTTAGAACAGCACCATGTGTTGCATTGTGCAGAATTGTCCGGGGCGTTTGGGAAGAGGTAAAAATGCTTCCTAAACGCCTCTCTGCCGCCTGCACACAACGCTAGTGTGAACGTAGCCTTACAGTTCTGTTTTACGGAAAGGTTTCGGTGTTAAGGACATCCCTTCCCTTAATCTATCCACTTTTAAATATGCTCCTACTATGGAGGCTCTGGAAATTTAGTTAGGACCGCAGTATATAGAGAGGTCCCTTGATGTGGGCACTGCAGCTTACACATTTGCAAATGTGTGCAAACAAAACCCTCTGTTTTGGTTCTTTTGCAGGCTGGTTGGTAAGTGTACTGGGAAATCCTTTATTTGTGATGTACATTGCCCTTCCATATGCACCTTGCTGCAAAAGCCAGTTATATGTTGGGGTGGTGGCTAATTTGTTGTGCAGCCTGAGGCTGGAGTTCTTTTCTAATGTAAGGTTTAGCTGTCACTTTGAGATTAGTCCAACTCCATCCAAAGTGTGCTTTTTGGTTTACAAAAAAAGGAAAATAATTAGAATGTCTGCCTGTTTTATATTGTGGTTTATGACTGTACTGGGGAGATTTCCCATCACTTTTGTCCCTGAGACAACAAAACAAGAAAAGAGGAAATTGTTGGTCACCAGGGCACAGACAGAAAGGTTCTAAAACATGACGAGTTGCTGGACTTTCCCCACTTTACCATAAAAAAAAAAAAAAAAAAAAAAAAAAAAAAAAACTGTTGTGGTTTCTGCCTCAATTGGAGAGATTTCCTCTCATTTATGGTCACTCTGACCCCTTGTCACTGGGCAATTGTGGTCTCCGTCTTAATTGGAGAGATTTCCGATCACTTAATGTAACTCTGACCCCTTGTCACTGGGCCAGGAAGTGAGAACTCTTTACTACGGTGTCATTAGAAACTATGAAACCTGACAGAAGTCCTTTTCCCACTCACTCCAAAGTGTGAACAAAGTTTTGGCTAAAGTTGGGGTGATGGGTCAGTAAATAAGTTAGAGCTGAACTCCAGGGAAAATCTAAAGTTATCCTTACGGTAAGGCTTTCCGGCACTGCAAGGGTTACATACTAATTTTTGTCTAGGTTTCCATTAAAATCAGTTTTAATTACTTCATCCCATACTTCCCCACCAGCCAGTGCTCTCCTCTTCTCTTCAGTACTCCGGGTTGTGGGCAGGCCCTTGGCATCCTCACTTAAAATGAAGGACCAGCAGGGTGTGATGATGTCAGAGTGCCTGTAACCAACGGAGCAGCAAAAGGAAGCAGCTTTAGGGGACTGGTTGCATAGAGAAGAGGAAGCCTGTGGGAATATGGAGTGAGGAAAGTAAAACCACTTTTTAAAGGCAGGTTAGACAAAAATGAGTACGTGACCCTTGCAATACTGTGGAAGCCGCAATGCAAGGGTAACTCTAGATTTTCCCTGGCGGTCAGCTTTAATTTTTCAGGTGTGGTAAATGTGTGTGCATACAGTAAAGTTCTAAGTCATAAGTGACCCTAGAGCACCAGTTTTAATCCTAAGAGCTCTCCGTCTGGGCCACTCTATAGCCTGATACTCCCAGATCAGTATCTTCAGCACTGATGTGCAGCCAAACAGAAAGCTAAGACAGACACTGGACTGTTTGTTGAAACACTACAAAAAGCTGCAGCTTCTTTCCACCTGCTAAGCCACCATGATGACAGAGCTTGTAAAACTCCTGTATTAGGAGGCAAGCACTCATTAATTTATGTACTACTGCTTACTGATTGAGTTCATGTACCTAGAACTGAAAAACATTGCAGCACTCTATTATTTATTTATTACAAGTACTTAAATTTATGCAGCTCTTTAAATATACAGTATATTGTACATTCACATCATTCTCTGCCCTCAAGAAGCTCACAATCTAAAGTCCCTAACTCACATTCACAAATACCATGCAAGGGACAATTTTTAATAGGAGACAATTAACCTACCAGCATGTCTTCGGAGTTTGGGAGAAATCATACCTATGCAAACTCCCGGCAAGTAGTGCAGTGGTTAGGATTTGAATCAACAACCCCTGGGGCTGCCAGATAGATGTGCTAACCACTCAGTCACCATGCTGCCCTCCAGGCAAAGTGCTAACCATTTAGCTACCAAGCTGCTATGTATAAAATGGACTGAGCAAATATATTTGTAGAAGGTGATATGTGTACCAGTTATGGCTTGTCCATGATGCAAAGAGGAGCAAGGTTCATGACAGAACAAGAAAATGTTCACAAAACCTTGACATAATTTAGTGGGTGGCAGAGAAAATTGCACTCCTTACGTAAATGTGGGAGATCAACATATCAGCAGTGTGACCCATTTCACCTAATATTTTTTTTTTCTAGTCTTGCATACCCTACCTGGGCCTTGGTAAGCCTGTGGATGTCCAAACGCAGAATCCCAGTTGTCTGATGTCGAATTTTTCTGGTTTGTGCCCCAAGGATCGTTTGCACTGTCAGAGGATGTAGGTGGTTTAGGTGCATTCCAGCTTGACCAAGGGTCACTTGTGCTTTTGGCCTAAAGGTTTTAATATATACAAGAAGTGAAAAAATTATTGTGTGCCTAAATTATTCCATCACCATAAATGCAACTATGTCATCTTTAAAATAATCTCATTGCACAAATAACAAAAAATTTAAATAAAAAAACGATAAATCCTTTATATACACATTAGCATCGTTTCCACGTGTTATTACTGATCCTTCAGAAACACAGATATAGTAAAAACATTTCACAGATACAACTTCAAAGCATGTTCAATAATAAATATTAATCAGAATGTAAAGACACATACATAATTGTTCCATCTCTAAGTTGTCCACAGAAGATCGGACATATTTCCCAGACATCTGTTGAGCTACAGGACTAATAAAGGCTTTTGTAAATCATAAGATTAGTTGTAATTTTTTTGTGTTTTCATGTTGAAGAACAAATAGACACGTAGGAGTATGAGAATATTCCGACGCAAAGCATTCTCCTTTGATAAAGATGTGTTGTTATCGGGGTCCACAGCACCGATAGTACACCACATGGGCATTAAGGAGAAAAAAAGAAATAAAGACTATTCTTAGTCAAGAATTAACGGGACAAAATGCCATAAACACAACAGCATAGGAGGTGGTGTGCATTAGAGAATGTGTTGAAGCGCTATTGTTCATTTCAAATAGATTTTGCATTCTATGTAGTCTATGGGAATACAAATTTTGCTTGAAGCAGGTCATGTCAGTGGTGTATCTAGGTTTTGTGCTGCCCTAGGCAACAAAAATCGGCCACACCACTTTGCATAGAGAGCCTGACACCAACCAACGCCACCCCCCCACCCTCGTGGAGCAGAGAGCCTGAGACCTTGACCAACAACACCCCTGTTCCCCCCGCACACGAGAGAGCCTTCCACTACCATTGCCCCCCATACACCGCCTTCCCCACCAGGTGAGAGAAAGACACTTGCCTTCACAGTTATGGACATCCTGAGGAATGAGAGTGGGGCTCTGCGTATACCGTCAACCAGCCCACAGCCTCTCTCGGATCCCACCTGATCCCCATACCACGTGTGTCCCTTCTTCAGTCCCTTCCTCCAGGGGACAGTGCTGCCCCCTGAAAAATGTCGCCCTAGACAAATGCCTTGTTTGCCTTGACGTAAATATGCCCCTGGGTCATTTTCAGATCATATATGCCTGTCAGTGAATTCTGAATGATCTCAGAAGTGTCTCAAACTGATGACATGGACACGAGCCCAAATCCTGTTGACACGGGCCCCTCCTGTTACGGCAGTACCTGTAATAGGATGGGCCTGTGTCGACAGGATTGCTATACCAACAATTAAACAGTTATCAGGTAAAGGTTTGGGACTCACAGACCATTGGTCAGGACCAATGATACCAAATTCTTGTATTTCGTTGAAGAAGCCAACTAGCCCATGCTGTAAAATCTCTAATATTCTGAACTCCTCACAACCCTAATCTCTTTGAACTTACACAGCTTATTTACTCTTAATAACCATTCACCAGTCTTTGGGAGGGAACGGGATTTCCAGTATTTGGAGATTAGGCTTTTCGCTGCATCAGGCAAATACGGTAACGCTGATCTTGTATACATGGCGGTTTGTAAAAGGTGTATTATGAAACAGAATGGCCCAAAGGGTCAAGAAGAAGGAGACAAAGGTCACTTATTAGAATATTGGCCGTCCTTTCACCCAGTACACCTTTGTTTGTGGACAGAGCCACCAGATTTGAGAAAAAGTACCTGTTTCCAGGAAAATGTGTGTACACTTGAATCTCATCTTTGTACTTTATATCATTTTGCTCACATTTTAAAAATGCATTATGCTAAGGTGGGAGTCAGAGGTAAGCTGAACCACTAACATTATTTTCCCTTTTGGTGTTGTTGAGCAATCTTCAGGCACTCTTCCACTGCTGCAAAGTAATTTTTTTTACGGGTTTACCCATAGTGTGCTTTACTCACCATCCAATACTAGATTCAACCAGTTTTAAAAGTACTTCATCTATATTTTGGACAAATAATTTCAGTAATGAATCTGGCCATATTTTTGCAAGTCAGAGCAAATTAATTCCTACAGCCTGTTTGTTTTCTGTCTTTTCCAATACATGTAGGCGGTTCTGCCAGTTTGTATTTCAATTTGGTCTTTTCCATCAACTTGTACCTGGCACTAGTCTATGCACCCTCACCTTACGTGTGTCTTGTCTGCTCATTGGCTCTTGCGATTCAGAGACTCCTCCTCCATCAGACAATGCTGGTGCATTGTCTGGGCTTACTCTGTTTATGCTCAGCCTGCACTGGCCAGACCTCTCAAGCTTGTGAAGTCCAATAACTGGAGTTTGCTCCTTTGACTTAGAGCAGTGGTCGGCAAGCCGCGGCTCGCGAGCCACATGCGGCTCTTTACCCACTCTAATGCGGCTCTTCTGTGTGCCGGGCGCCCGCTCCCCTCCCTCCTCTCGGTCGGCCGCTCCCCTGCCTCCTCTCGGTTGGCCGCCCCAAAAGTCCGCGCGGACCTTTTAATCCGGCCCGCGGATGTGGCTGTCAGGATGTGTGTAGGCGGGGCAGCGTGCCGAACGTGAGGGGAGGGGAGCTAGGCTCCTCTCACAGTCCGCCCTGAAGACCCGAACGGCGCGCGGGAAGACAGCGAGAGGAACGCGCGCGAACAAAGGTAAGTGAATTGACACAGGGGACTTGGCTTACTAGAAGGGGGGGGGGGAATAGTACTGTGGGGGATGAAATACTATATGAGGGATGAAATACTATATGAGGGATGAAATACTATATGAGGGATGAAATACTATATGAGGGATGAAATACTATATGAGGGATGAATTACTATATGAGGGATGAATTACTATATGAGTGATGAAATACTATATGAGGGATGAAATACTATATGAGGGATGAAATACTATATGAGGGATGAATTACTATATGAGGGATGAATTACTATATGAGGGATGAAATACTATATGAGGGATGAATTACTATATGAGGGATGAAATACTATATGAGGGATGAAATACTATATGAGGGATGAAATACTATATGAGGGATGAATTACTATATGAGGGATGAATTACTATATGAGGGATGAATTACTATATGAGGGATGAAATACTATATGAGGGATGAAATACTATATGAGGGATGAAATACTATATGAGGGATGAAATACTATATGAGGGATGAATTACTATATGAGGGATGAATTACTATATGAGGGATGAAATACTATATGAGGGATGAATTACTATATGGGGGGATGAATTACTATATGAGGGATGAATTACTATATGGGGGGATGAAATACTATATGGGGGGATGAAATACTATATGGGGGGATGAAATACTATATGAGGGATGAATTACTATATGAGGGATGAAATACTATATGAGGGATGAATTACTATATGAGGGATGAATTACTATATGAGGGATGAATTACTATATGAGGGATGAATTACTATATGAGGGATGAAATACTATATGAGGGATGAAATACTATATGAGGGATGAATTACTATATGAGGGATGAAATACTATATGAGGGATGAATTACTATATGAGGGATGAAATACTATATGAGGGATGAATTACTATATGAGGGATGAAATACTATATGAGGGATGAATTACTATATGAGGGATGAATTACTATATGAGGGATGAAATACTATATGAGGGGATGAATTACTATATGAGGGATGAATTACTATATGAGGGATGAATTACTATATGGGGGGATGAAATACTATATGAGGGATGAAATACTATATGGGGGGATGAAATACTATATGAGGGATGAAATACTATATGAGGGATGAAATACTATATGAGGGATGAATTACTATATGAGGGATGAAATACTATATGAGGGATGAATTACTATATGGGGGGATGAAATACTATATGGGGGGATGAAATACTATATGAGGGATGAAATACTATATGGGGGGATGAAATACTATATGAGGGATGAAATACTATATGAGGGATGAATTACTATATGAGGGATGAAATACTATATGAGGGATGAATTACTATATGGGGGATGAAATACTATACGGGGGATGAAATACTATACGGGGGATGAATTACTATACGGGGGATGAATTACTATACGGGGGATGAATTACTATACGGGGGATGAATTACTATGGGGGATGAATTACTATATGGGGGATGAATTTACTGGGGGATGAATTACTATATGGGGGATGAATTACTATATGGGGGATGAATTACTATATGGGGGATGAATTACTATGGGGGATGAATTACGATGGGGGATGAATTACGATGGGGGATGAATTACTGTATGGGGGATGAATTACACTATGGGGGATGAATTACTATATGGGGGATGAATTACTATGGGGGATGAATTACTATGGGGGATGAATTACTATGGGGGATGAATTACTATATGGGAGATGTATTTTCAGTTTTAAAAATGTGGCTCTCAAAATAAATTTCAATCATGGTTTTGGCGAGATTTGGCTCAGTTGAAAAAAAAGGTTGCCCACCACTGACTTAGAGCATCCAGACCTGTTGTCCACATCTGTATATCTGGACCTGCGTTTTTATTAATTTGTCCAGCGTGTGCCTTTGCAGCTTCCTTGTGCAATTAGACCTGTATTGCTTATCTGAATCTGCTCCTAACCTGCTTTAGGCAGGCCATACAATAAGCAATTTTCTTTCCTGCAACCACGGGTTTGCTCGATTCCCCCATCAACAAATTCAGTGTTGATGGGGAAATCCCTTTTATGGAGCTTCTGTATTCTGAAAACGGGAGGTTTCCCAGCAGTCAGAATGCAATGATTACTGCTGGCTGCTATAACCGCCAGCAGTGATTGAATAAAAATAAAGTCACAAATCGATCAGCACAACCAGGCTGCCCATACATGGATCGAAATACAACCGGTCCTTGCTGAACCTGCCGAATTTTGATCCATCTATGGATGGCTTTAGACACGCAGGCTACCTGGCTCCTGGGAGACCTCCCTATTGTCAGAATACACGGATTAGCTCTGTGGGATATAGCCAGTGGTGCTGACTGAGCAGAAAAATACAAGCAAGCGCGTTGTACAGAAGTCGATTGGAAGATCGACTTCAGCATGACCAGCCTGCCCATACATGGATTGAAATTCGGCCTGTCCCTGCTGAACCAGCCAAATTTCAATCTATCTATGGTTGGCTTTAGACACACTGGCTATCTGGTTCCCGGGATTGGTCCAGCCTATAAATAAACCAATATACAACAAATCAAGCCCCTGGAGGAGCTGCAAGGCTCTTATATTTACAAGAAAGCTTACTATAACTGGAATCACACTGTTGACCTACCTGTTCACCATTGTTGATACTGGCAGCCTGAGCAGTGATGGCAGAAAGTGAATCAAAGAAAGACAAATCTGCAGGTGTATTGCTAGAAGCAGCTTCATCAGACATTATCTGGAAAAAGTGGATATAACATATATAAGGTGATATGCATGATAATGAAAAGCAATGAAGAAATGTGTTTTTGAAGAATTTTTTATATGGTTCAGATCCTCAAATGGGTTTACAACATCACTTTTCATGAATGTCCTATATTATATGCCATGTATGTATAATTCATATGGCACCACCCATGTGTATTGTATTTTACAAAAATTAGGAGCAAAGTGTAATTAGGGGCAAATGTTAAACAAAACATATGCTATATAACAATATACTGTTTTTTTTCATAAAAGTTCAAAAAGAAACTTGATTTTATTGAGGGAAAAACAATTTTCCTTATGTCACTGCCAGCTAGCATTTTAGTTGATTTAATTACTGAATACTTGGCTGATGCTGTTCTTCAGATATTGAGAAAGGTACTGAAGGCAGTCAAAGTGCAAAGTGGGAGAGTTTTTTCCTAAGGAAGCTAATGTATATTTCCTTCTACGCCGTTAAAGGAACTCTAAACCCAGGAATAAAATTGTAATATATTGCAACTTACTACTCCTTAGATTTGGTAGCTGCATCAGTTTTCTTTTTTTGGGCTAACTACATTTTTCAGAACAAGTTCAGAACAATTCCTGTTAGAAATCCAGTGTCCTTTTAACCCTTTGTGCACCAACCTGATATTTCAAACAATGTTATCTGCATTCCTCTGTAAATTTTAGAACGCTGCCCTCCCCCATATCATGCTGATAATGCAAGGGGGAGGTGTTTGTAATCCAAATGAAGAGATCAGTCAAGGGCAGCGGTTCTCAACCAGGGACCCATGGAACCCTCCAGAGGTTGCTAGGGGTTCCTTACCTACTTGCCAACCCACCACAGTACTTTCACTGTGACAGGGTGGCAGCTACAGGCACTGCGATGTACGGGTACGATGCTGCCTGTTTTCGGGTTTGGGGCACACTTCCCGTCCACCTACTCCCCTGTGATTTGACACAGCAGGAGTTCATCAACAGATCCCGGTCAATGATTCATGATTCAAATCACAGCCTAGAGCTCTGTGTTGATAGACAACACAGAGCTCCATACGGAGGGAGCAATCATTTTTTTTCCTGTAGCTGCTAAGCAGGGAAAAGATGTAAATCAATTTGTAGCTCAAATTAGTACATAGTAAACACATTGACACTTGCTAGGCACAGAATTAACCCCTTGATTTCCCCTAGATGTTAACCCCTTCCCAGCTAGTGTCATTAGTACAGTGACAGTATATACTTTTAGCACTGATCACTGCATTAGTGTCACTGGTGATGTCAATGTCAGTTAGTCAGTGCCCACAAAGGGTGAGATAGTGTCACTATCACAGTCCCACTCAAAGTTGCTGATTTCCGCCATTACTAGTGAAAAAAAAATTAAGATATACAAATTCCAGTATATATTCCATAGTTTGTAAACGCTGCAACTTTCATGCAAACCAATATACACATATTGGGATTTTCTTACCAAAGACGTGACAGAATACATTTTGGCCTAAATTTATAAAGAAATTAGATTTTTCACATTTTTATTGAATATATTTAACCGCTTCCCAACGGCGCTATAGCCGAAAGAGGGCTGCAGCACGGTTGTCCAGTTCTGGGAGGGCGTTTGCTTTTAGAATTGTTTTTTTTAAAGATAAGCACAGGAGAACCTCCCAAATGCCCAGAATGCACTGAAAAGTGGTAAATTATTAACCATTTCAGACTGTTTCAGAGAAATACAGAGTAGAAGCAGAGGCAGAAGTATGTGTTGACATTAGCTTAGGTGTGAATTGCTCATTACCATTTCTTGTTTCCAAGGGTGGGAAGGTGTCTGGTGGAGTGAGTCATTAAGGCAACCTGGCAGGGGGTCTTCATGAGGAATTAGAGGTGTGAATGGTCATTAACATATCTTTTGTTTCCAAGGGTGGGAGAGGTCCGAGGTGTGAATTGGTCATTACAATGTGTAACAAGCTTAGTAGGAACATCCTGTGTTCAGTGTTTTGTCCATTTGAGTAACTTGAAAATGCTTTGCATGCATTTTTCATAATAAAAAAAGGCTCTGGACAGCATCAGGAACTGGAAGAGTTAAAAAAAAATTTCAAACGCTTATAAACGCGTTTTGCGTTTGAAACGCTGATAAAATTGACTGCTGAATGCAAGTTTTCTGCGTTAAAAAAAACAGTCTATAAACTCAAATGCCTGTAAACGACTGTAAACAAAGATGTGTACATGGACACATAGGAAAACACATAGGAAAACATTAGGGTTAGTTCAGGGGCTGCTAAAAAAAAAAATGCTGAACAGCTCCTAAATGTGAGTTTATCAGCCGCAGTGTACAAGAGCCCTAAAAGTAGCAGACGGGAAATCTTCCAATGGGGACACTAGTTCTGGTGACCTGGAGGTCCCCGAGAATTTCCTCTCACTTCCTGTTGGCTGGCTATGGGACAGGAAGTGAAGGGAAATCTCCGCAATGGCACGCAGATGGTGGAAAAAAAAACTGACAGGGGTTATAACCCTCCCTTGCTCTATCCAAAATGGAAAAAATGTTTTGCTTAAATCTTTACTTTAAATTACAAAATGACTTGTGTTACAATTATAAAGGTCATATTATTTAAGGAAAGTTAGGTTTTCCACTTCTAAATAAAATGGTTTCATGTGAGACAGGCACACAGATTACATTTTATTGGGTACTGCTGAGAACCACAAGTGTTGGGCTTTTGAAACAATGGAAACAAGCAAGTGACTAATCCAAAATGACATTCTGTCAGATGAGGCCCCAATATAAAAAGTTTACAATTTCATATGTAGGTGGCCATTGAGCAATCGTATTATATTATGAATTGCTTTGCAGTAAATGGTAAAATGTAAAGCCTAGCCAAAAACATTTTTATTTTTTTAGTTTTGGATAGAGTTCGGAGGAGTTCAATTTTATGTCTGGTTTTCATTTTTCGCTGTGACATATTGGGAAGACTTTCCCTCTCTTCGGGCTGGTTCACAACATTTTGCGTTCTAGTGTATTTTTTTCCCCCTTTTTTTATCTTGACACTTCAAAAATCTTATGACAATGGGTTTCTTCCGTGTGCTCCAGTGTGTTGACATGTGTTTAGATGTGTTTTGATGAGTTCCAGATGAAAAAAAAAAGAAAAGCTGCAGCAGCTTAAATTATTGTTATTATATAAAATGAAAGAAAAAGTTGGGCATTAAAAATACCCCGTGAGATGACATTTGTGTGTCTATTTAGGTGTCTCCTACAAATCATGCAGCTATTGAATGAACCATAAAATAATAAACCATACAGATCTTTGTACTGTAAGTCATTAAATCTTAAACCCCAAACCAGAAATATATTACAGAATACCAATCAGATGTGGTGGCTGCATAAGTTTTCTTTTTCCCCCTCTGTTTTCACCTGGTGATCTGGCCAGTAACACATGAAGGAGCACAGGAGCACCCACTCTGGATAAAGGAGCACCTCTGGAGAGCAGCATTGTCAGTCTAGGGTAGAGTTGCCACCGTATTCCCTTTAAAAATCGAACACATAATAATTACATAGGTTCTGAGGCTAATTTATTGCAGATAAGGCACTGAGTTTAATTACCACTTTAATCAACCACAGAACCTGCGTAATTAATATGTGTTCGGGTTTTAACCCTTTCACCGCCAAGTCCATACCTTGTACGGACCTGACAGCAGGGGGTTCTATACACAATCCGGTGGCTGCAGCCACGGGGATTGTGTATAATACTGACAGGCAGACTCCTGCCTGTCAGGTGGAAGCAGTTGTACAGCTGCGCTGCCGCCCGATCGCTTCCACAGCCCCCAGTTACCGGTGCCCCCCACTCCCCCCCCAGGCTCCGCTTGCCCATCTGTGGGCCTGAGGAGTGCCATGGAGGGTGCCGGCGGGTGGAGGGGAGAGAGGAGAATGGATGAACGTCCACTCTCATCCCCTTCTTTCTGTGATCCGGAAGGGACGTGTATGATGTCACTTCTAGGTCATGGCTGTCAATTTTCCCAGCTATTCTAGCCAGGGATACATGTATTGTAATGTGATCTGCATTGCAATACATCTATTGGAGACCAGAGGAGACATGCAGGGTCTTTTAGACTCTGCATGTCTCAATAAAGAGTACCTGTCACCTAAAAATCATCACATAGTTACACCCAAGCACATACTACCCCCCAAAAAACATTTGGAGGCCCCACTTCCACATATAATGCATGCACAAACGTAAACGCACACATCGGGGTGCCTAAGCATAAGAAGTTGATTGCGATACACGTTACATATCGCCACGCACGCCGTAGTTAGAGCAATCATTTTAGCACAAGCATCGCCTATAGAAAATATAAGGTACTGAAGTTTGTCGCCATTTCATACGCACACACAAATTTAGGTTTGGCATGTTGGGTATCTATTTACTCGGAGCAACCTCATCTTTTAGATTTTGTATTTGTTTGCACAAAAATTCCCTTTAGTGTGTTTTTTACTGAAATTTTGCATTTCCTAGACCTGCGGTATTATACGGTGACGTAAAAAATTGGAACTACCATTATTTTATTTCTAGGGTGTCTGCTTTCAGAAAATATATAATGTTTTGGGGGTTTTGTGTAATCTTCAGCCTAAAATAATTTTTAAAGTGGTTCTAAAGGCTCAAGGTTTTTTACCGTCATACATTCTATGCTGAGACAGAAGCGGGAGCCATTGGCTGCTGTCAATCACTTGGCCAGTGAGCCAATGAGAAAAGAGAGGGGGTGGGGCCGAGGCACAGCTGTGTGTGTGAATGGAAACACGGAGCAGCGGGTGCCCCCATAGCAAGCTGCTTGCTGTGGGGGCACCTGACAGAAGGGAGGGGCCAGGAACGCTGGCAGGGGACCCAAGAAAAGGAGGATAAAGGTTTTACATGAGTAAATAAAGGTGATTATTGTAAGCACACCCCTGCCAGGTGGTAAATGGCTTGTCCCGACCCTCCAACAGCTACATTTGCAGGAAAGCGTGTTCAACAACAAAAGACTTACTGGCCAGAACACTAAGTGAAAATAATGGAAATAAAGCCTATAAAAGAGGCACATCTAAGAACTGGCAAGCTGCAATAGCTAGTAAGCCAATGAGAAAAGAGAGGGGGCGGGGCCACAGCTGTGTGTGTGAATGGACACAAGGAGCAGCGGGTGCCCCCACAGCAAGCTGCTTGTTGTGGAGGCACCTGACAGAAGGGAGGGGCCAGGAATGCCGGCGGGGGACCAGAGAAGACGAGGATCCGGGCTGCTCTGTGCAAAACCACTGCACACAGAAGGTAAGTATGGACATGTTTGTTATTTTTTCTTTATAAAAAAAGCCTTTAGAATCACTTCAAGCATGTGTGTGAAAAATGCAAAAATTACTCTGGCAGCAAAAGTGCTAAAGGGATGAGTTGGCAACCCTAGTCTCATGGAAGGTGGATGGATAGATGTACTAGCTGAATTAGATACACTGACAAATGAAGGCAAACTCCAACTTACATTGAAGTTACAGCAATAGCTTTTTTTTTTCCTTTTGGGATAAATATTTTACATGAATAAATAAAGGTGATTATTGTGAACACCCCTGCCAGTGGTAAATGGTTTGTCTCGACCCTCCAACAGCTACATTTGAGGGAAAGTGTGTTCAACAACAACAGACTTACTGGCCAGAACACTAAATGAAAATAAAGGAAATAAAGCCTAAAAAGAGGCACATCTAAGAATTGGCAAGCTGCAATATAATAAAGGTTTAATATTCATTACAATAAATGTTAATCCGGTTTCCTGTTGATGTAGATTACGCCGAAAACGCAATGGATTCAGCTAGTGGTGACATCGCCACACCAGCCAGCTGAGTGCAGTGAGGCTTTTCATGTTGGTGTCTACGATTCCTTTTTTTAATCAATAATACTGGGCTATGAAGGTGATGCTCACTGTGTTGGCTGGGGCTTCTGGGACCCTCTATTATACAAGTGTTTATGGCCTCCTATATCCGAGAGGTCTATTAGTCTGGTAAGAAGTGTGTGTACCTGGTGGCTTTGGATTGCAGCATTGTGGCACTTGATCACCACAGTGATTTTTATAGAAGCCTAGTTCACTTTATGGACATTTTATATAGATGTTTGACCTTCTATTTTGCACTTCATTGAGATTTGCAGTATTACACACTTTTGTCATTCGGTCATAATATATATTGTGATTGATTCTTAAAGAGACACTTTTTCTTTGCTATAATAAATGTTTGCTTTTGGATTTAATACCACTTTAAGTTTAGTAATTTTTCTGTTGTTTATTAATCACTTGCCCTCCAGAGGATTGACCCCCCTTCCTGACTAGGCCAGCTTTCTTTCCGTGGTATTTGATCGTCTGTGTGTTTTTTATTTTTTGCACTATAAAAAAAAAGTTCCGGCAATTTTGAAAAAAAACCCTCAATATTTTTTCACTTTTTGCTAAATTAAACATGTCCAGTAACAAAAACGTAAAAATCAAATTTGTCATAAATTCAAGCCAAAATGTAATCTGCTACATGTCTTTGCTAAAAATTCCAATAGGTGTAAATTCATTGGTTTACGTGAACGTTATAGCTTTCACAAATAGCGGTATATAAACATTTTTTTTTTTTTTACTAGTAATGGCGTCGATCAGCGACTTCTAGCAGGACTGCGGCGACCATTCTGACACTAGGGGGAACTGACTTGGTGTCACGGACATCCCCAGTGACACCAATACACTGATCAGCGCTAATAAAAAGAACTGACACTGTATTAATGGCAATGGGCAGGAAGGGGTTACCATGCCGGGTGATCAAAGGGTTAACTGTGAAATGTTTTACACACTGGGCTGTGTTTGTGCTTCATTGTAAGCACATTGCTTTGCATGGCTGTGCTATACACAGCCATACAAAGTAGTGTGCAGGAGCTGACAGGGGAGAGAACTGTTTTGTTTACAAACAGTTCTCCTCACCCTGCCGGATATGCTTGGCAATCACCAGGTGCTGGTGAGTAATTACTGGCTGGGACCTGGTGACTGACAGCCGAGGCCACGAATGGCAGCAAGGGTAGTGCGTGCACCTCCTACCCGGAAATGCAAAATCACGTGTATATACTGTATACACGTGATGTTGCGCACCCGTGCTGCCCTGTAGCAGTACTTCTTCTATAGGGCAGACAGGAAGCGGTTAATCAGCACCAGGGACAGATCTTACAATGAACCTCCAGCAATGAACACTGCTCTATGAATGGAGGAGGGGTGGATGAATTAAAGGTCCACTTCCTCCATTTATAGAGCATTTTCATTGCGGGATGCGACAGTACAACTTTTATAAATGGAGAAGGGCATAGTTGGCACTTTGAGATGTTGCCATGACAGGTCCTATGACTCGTATTAACCCCTGAAGCACCAGAAGATCACAGCTGCAGGAGTATCTGTGGGGTTGCAAAAGACTGACATAGTAGTCACCAGCACAAGGGCCCTTTTCACTTATTGCAAGTACTGCCCCTGGTGTGGATATAAAAAGAAAGACATACTTCACTAAACATAAGCTTTAGAAACACCTAACTTTTTTTTCTAAAGGATAAGTTCACCTTTTAAAAAAAATAATAAATGCACATCTATTTACAGGTAAAAAAAAAATGTGCATTTATTATTTTTTTTTGTTTGGAGTCTATAAAAGCATTGAACCAGCGATCAGCAGATCGCAGGAGCCATGCAGAACTCCTGCAGACTTGTGCATCTGTCTGCTCGTACATCGTATGGGTATGAGACAATGAACTACCAGAGCGCTCAACAGCGCCATGGTAGTTCACTAAGAACTACAAGCTGACAGCCGCAAAGGTACTTGTAGTTTCCCATTCATAGGTCTCTGTGAATGAATGACGCGGCAAAGTCCGACACGGTCACATTTGTTTTAAAAAATAGTGACAGCTAGCAGGAGAAGAAGATCCCCCGCTTGCTGTCACTAGAGGCAGTGGAGCGGGCAGCTGCTGCAGGAGTGAGAGCATGTTACACTTTCCACCCTAACACATGTTACATGTTCCCAAAGGTGATCTTATCCTTATTATGTTATAAAACCAAGTCCCTTTGGTATTTGCAGAAAACTTCATGTGGGAACGTCTCACACATTAAGAAATTCTCATGTATAAAAATGTCCTTTAATCTTTTTGAGTATCATCGTCCCATGGTCCCAGTTAAGGTTTCCTGTTCTACGATAAGATATTACATTGTATGGAAGGAGAAACTGGTTACAGACGTCATAGCGTAACCCTTAAATGTAACCTCTACTGAGATAAATATGTAGACTGCCACTGCAAACTTGACCATTCGCACTAGATTTTCCTGGCTGTCATGTCGGTCCAAATACTTCAATATTTTCTCATCACTGACCCCAGGACAGGTATGCAAACCAGGATTACTGATTTTACTTGGCGTTTATTTGTTCTAAGTCATTGATTCAAAGTCAAAGCTCCAATACAGAGCAAGGCAAATGCTTTTTTTTTTTTTTTTTTTCCAAAACAGGTCAGTAGTACCAGCCTACATATTTCCCACAGCACAGGTTTCAGCTTGGACACCAAGATCATAAACAAGATAATATACTGGAAGCATAGCTGTAACATTCCAATTCACTTTTGTGACTGTACACTAGTTGGTAAATACAGGTGAAGCAAGGTTGAATGGCTCAATTTGCATTTCTTTAACCAATTTTAACCTCATGGTTATATTGAAAGACAGATCATCATCAAAGATTGGGAGGTGAAATCCCCAAATGCCAAAACATATGCTGGTTGCTTGCTAACCATGTTGTTGTAAAAGGCTGAAATGACAAATGAACAACGTATATCCTTCTATAGTGTGTACTAGCCTCAATTGGAAACACGTAGTGTGATTTCTGTTTCCTCTGTCATTCCTCTACTATCTGTAGAATCACTTCACCAGACAATCATGAAAGACCGCATAACCACCTAGCACCAAGCAGGTGATTGACATCCTTAGCTGTGCTTGTTTCTCTATGGGACTTTGTAGACAGGAGTGTGTCCTTACCCTCTCCACTCAGGTCTCAGACTACACTCTGCTCTCTTCTCTATGCTGCGCAGAATATGACATCAAAACTCCACCAGCTGCCTTGCTGAAGCTTAGAAATGCCATGTACATTTTTTGGACTGATGTGGAGAAGACAGGGCTACAGATAAGCAGGTACAACTTATGTAGAAAGATGTGTTTCGTCTCTGTGTATCACGGGGGGTGGTCACTTCACTGGGCATATCACCTAAGCTGCATTTTTTTCAATCCAGTTTGGGTGAGTTTAGCAGAGCAGCATTTGGTGTTTGGAAGATTATTTCATTAGCCAGAAATTGTATTTATTCTGGGCATTGAAGTGAATAAATGCTAAAGTACTAAACGTGCCTAGGGTTTGGGCATGTTTGATGTTTTAAATGTTGGTAAACTTTTGTCCCGAATGCAATTTTTGTGCTAACAGAGAAAATGCCAGAAAACGTCTTTACAGCGGCTGTTTTTGGCTTTTGATGTTTTTTCTACAGCTAGTAAACCCCCCAGCATGTTATCCTATGTGTCCATGCACACATAGACTGTAATCAATCAACATTTTTTGGCTGGAAAAAAACCCCCAGAACTAGTGGGTTTCTAGAGTTTCTTAGCTGTAAAAACGGTCTAATGCTGAAAAACGTGGTAAAACGCTGCAAACTGGCGTTTTTGTCTGTTTTTTTGACCCCCCAAAAATTGAGGTTTTTGGGGGGGGGGGAAAACCCACTAAAAACCGCAAACGCGAAAACCCACTAAAAAAAAACGCGCCGCTAAAAAGCTAATGCAAAACGCTAAAAAAAGCTGAAAGTCACGTTTTAACGTGACTTTACACAGCTAATGTTACCAGCATTATCAAAAACATCCCGTGTGCATGAGGCTAGATGTCAGTTTAGCAGCTGCAGTGAACATGAGGCCTTTAACCACCTCCACCCGCCATATAAGCAAATGACTGGTGCAGTGCGGCGATCAGTGGTGTACTGTGTCCCTGGGACACAGCAGATAACCGATCAACAGAAAGAGCCGAAGACGTCAGCTCTGTCATGTGATCAGCTGTGTCCAATCACAGCTGATCGCATTTAAATAAGATAATGCCGGTTATCGGCATTTCTCTCCTCACGAGCTGTCACACTGACAGCTCGTGAGGAGAGGAGAACCGGTAACTGGCATTCCTCAAAGAGGACATTTACACTGATCATCAGGGCACTGATTATCAGTGTGCCCTGATGATCAGTGTAGCCCCATCAGTGCCACCTGTCAGTGTCCATCAATGCCACCAGTCAGTGCTCATAAATGCCACCTGCCAGTGCCCATCAGTGCCGTATCAATGCCACATATCAGTGCCTACCAGTGCACATCAATGCCCATCTGAGCTGCCTTTCAGTGCCACCTATCAATGCCAGTCAGTGCTGCCAATTAGTGCCATCTATCCGTGCCAGTCAGTGCCGACTATCAGTGCCAATTAGCGCCACCTAACAGTGCCAGTCAGTGCCACCTATCAGTGCCATATATGAGTGCTGCCTTTCAGTGCCCATCAGTGATGCCTGTCAATGCCAATCAGTGCCACCTACCAGTGCCTCCTCATCAGTGCCCATCACTGCAGCTTCATTAGCGCACATAAGTGAAGGAGAAAAATCACTTATTTACAAAATTTTATAACAGAAACTAACGAAACTAAGAAAAAAGAGTTTTTTTTTTTTTTTAATTTTCAGTGGTTTGTTTAGCAAAAAAATAAAAAACCCTGAGGTGATTAAATACCACCAAAAGAAAGCTTTATCTGTCTCAAAAAAATGATAAAAATTTCATATGGTTACAGTATTGCATGACCGCACAATTGTCATTCAAATTGCAACAGCGCAGAAAGCTGAAAACTGGCCTGGGCAGGAAGGGGGTATAAGTGCCCGGTAGGCAAGGGTTTAAAGTGACATTAACATTTTAAAAGCTTACATAATAATTTAATGATTGGGTTTGAAGGTAGGGAAATGCAAAAATCTGTATCCTGGCAACATCACTCACCTCTACATAGTCTGTTGGTACAAGTCCTCTGTCACCATGATTATTCTTTACTTCAATCCATCCTCCGCCGACATCCTGCAAGAGAAGCCATTGAGAAATATCATGTATATAAACTCTCAAACATGTATTACTTACATAGTAGAGAATTCAAAAAACAACCAGTCTGGAATTGAATAGATCAGGGAGAAGTCAAAGATCAGCGGGCACAGTGTCGTCCAGTGTCACCTCCTCATACCCCATTTTAACCTCTAATTTCCATGCTACTATGTTGCGATTGCATGCAATGCACAGCAATCATGGGTTTAAGTCAGGTGTTGAAGAGGCAACATATCGCCTCCTCACCACCTATCAAACACATTCGTATCGCTTTTCAGAGGAGCAACAGTCCTGTTGCACTTGTGAATATGCCCATAGTTGCATTCGGTATAGGCACCCTTAAAGGCTCGTTCACACGTAAATTTGGGGGTGGTAAAACTTTGCTGTTGAGTGGCAGTTTTATTGCACCACAATCTCCATCTTATTTAGCTGCCAAGGCAGCAGCCAGAGATGTACAGATGCTACAGCAGGAATGAAACCCCCTGTTGCTTTTGGTGGGTGCTACCTCCTGCCAATCGCGACCCATTTAAGTAAATGAGGCCACTCTGCAAGCGCCCCACAACTGAATGCTGATGCGTAGTCCAAGGGGTTAAAGCAGGTGGTGAGAAAGCAACACAAGGCTGTCTGCTGTAACCTCGATTGCTGTACTGCACAAGGTTTCAGGGAACTTGCAGAGAGGCCGCATTCACTTGAATGGGTCATGCTTGGCAGATGCTACACCCATCAACCATGACAGGGTGTATAACTCCTGCTGCAGCTGCAACATGTGTACATCCCTGGCCACTGCAGCTAAATGGAGTGCGGTTGGGGCAGGGGTGGTAAAAAACACATCTTCACTATGGTGTTTTACCACACTCAAATGCAAATGTAAGTTAACCCTTACTGTTTTTAGCCCTCTTTTTCACACGAATGTGCTGTTTACCTGCACTGTGGGTGCAGCACAGAGCATCTGTGACTTTCCTGCTCTTTGCCAGAGACTTCGAATATATTCTGCAGGTGTGGTGCACTTTCTGGTAGCGTACCAAAACTCCTGCATTCAATTGTAAGGTACACTGCACTGCATCCGCGGCGTGGGTAAACCGCAGCGCATCAGTGTGAAAGCAGCCCTATACTATTATGCCCAGTGTATTGCTTTACAATGACCTGAAGATCTCTTTTTTTGTCTAAAAAATTCCAAAAACAACCTCCTGCGCTTAAATGGAATCCTATCCTTCAAAAGCTGCCGACACCAAACTTATACCCAAGTAAGTGAATGATCAATTAAAATAAATAGTGTAGCGCTAATAATACTAACAATTACGTGTTAAAAAATTGTTAGTATTATTAGCTCTTTTTTTGTCTGCTGCTGGCACCACTCTGGAGACTGCTAGCCAGGATAAGAGGTGGAGTGCAGTTGGTATCACTCCCCCTATGGGACAGAAGCCATCACTACAGAGGAGGCATCGGCTTATGTGGCTCTTACTCTCTACTGCAGTTCCAACTTTACAAGTAGTCCCTCTGCATTGCACTCTGTTTGATGCTCTGGGATAGCGGGTCACCAAGCCCTGACCGCGATCTACCAGTCACCTGGCCGCGATCTATTGGTAGATTGCAATCTACAGGTTGCTGACCCCCGTTCTAAATTGTGGGAAGCTCATTGATTTTCAATGGAAGAATTTGAGCTGCCTGCTGCTACTTTTTCATAGAATACAGAACATCTCTGCAGAACTAGAAACAAAATAATTCAGTGAGCTGCTAATGCTATACACTACCAACATACCAAAAAAAGTCTACTCAATTTACCTTGATTCAAATCTTACCCAAATTTTCCCATAACCCCCTGTAGCACTCTGGGAGTGACTGCACCCTCCTAGTACATAATGTAGGTAAGGGTTGTCAAACAGCTGTTGCGAAACTACAAGTCCCACCATGCCTCTGCCTTTGGGAGTCATGTTTGTAACTATCAATCTTGCAATGCCTCATGGGACTTGTAGTTTGGCAACAGCTGGATGGCCGCCAGTTTGACACCCGTGCTGTAGGTGTAAATACATTACTTTTTCAATGATCAGACACATGCATAATGAAAGAAGGAAGTTACTAACATCGTATATGCCCAATGGACATGCACTTTCATTTGCATGTGTAGCCAGGTGTCGGCTATATCATTATGCCATTCTGGGACATTTACAGATGAGACTGTGATTAATCCTTTTCCCTCTAGTGCCCAGTACTGGAAATGCTACATCACTTCCTGTTAGCAGAGTGGATCCAGTTTTTTCTGACAGCAGAGGATCTGGGGGGACCTGTGGTCCTTTAGCCAATACATACTGTATTTCTGAGTGCTGAGGAATCAGAAGGGCGCTGGGAGAGCAGATATATGCTACAACAAGGAACTAGCTTGCTCAATTGGTTTGGGATTCATAGCTGAACACAGGGGGACTGCTGTTCTCTTTCAGAGACAGATTGCTGGCCTGCTGCTGCGGGACTCTACACATCAGTTCACCACAGCGGTGATGCTGATCGCCACACTGGGATCGCATCAGCTTCTCTGCATCAGGACTGTCACTATCCAGTCTTCACATAGAAATCTCTGTTCACTGAGTTGATAGGCCATCAGGCAGCAACTCTCAGCATTCCTGCAAACAGCTAAAAGTCTGTGCAAGAACCCCTGTTACTAGGAGGCTGTGCCATTCATAGGATTGGTGAGCATGCGGACACCCAAACTCTGTCAACACTCTAGAGACACTGCATGCAGACACCTTTTTCACCTCAGTATCAGGAGATCTTTGCTTTGAGCAGTACCACAGTCTGCTTAACTTCATTGAATTACCAGTATTCACTGCTGTTTAAGGGCCACACCATTGCTAGCAGAAGACAACGAACACCACAATATCAGGAACTTTAAACATCACAGGACTCAAGGTGCAATATCTACAATGCAATCTGTAGCTACAATTAAATTGGGATACTTCTATCTATTTATGTCAGAGCATACATTTACATAATTCTCTGCATCCACCATTGTGGCGCTAGTGGCCTAGAGGGGGCTGATGAGTCAACAAGCCTTTTCTCCCCCCTCTTACTGTTCGTGTTACAGTTTAATAGCTGAAACTTACTGCTCATGACTGTATAATTTGCTAAATGTTGCTAACTGATTATTCCTATTTTACCAGTGTTCTATTGTATGTGTTAACTGGGGTTAACAAACCTATTATTCTCGTGGTCTACTTTTCTGAACAAGACTAATATAGAAGTGTTATTTCAACACTATAGGATAACAATGCAAGAGACACAATTCTTTAATATGTCTGAACTCAGAGTGTCAGAGGTGCCAGGAGGCTTGCAAGGTCAGGGTAACCACTGGAGACCAGCATTATCAAGCAGCCCCAGCGGGGATAGCACTAACCATGCTTCCCCAGAGTTTCCTGATAAAGACATTTGGGATATTGGGGAGTCATGGGCTGCATATCTACAGGCCCAGGAACAAGGGATTTTAGCAGTCTACAATGCGGGTGACTGCAGGGAGCTAGGAGGCCCAACACAGAAACAGCTTAAAAGAGAAGTATGGCCAAAGCTTGTTTTCGCCATACTTCTCTTCTGGGTCACAGGAGTGCACATACTTGTGCTCTTCTGTGACCCAGAATAGGCTAGAGCCCACTGTTGGCAGACATGCTCCCGCCACCTCTCAAAAGAGTGCTGGAGGGGCAGAGCAGAGAACAGAAACTGACAGTCACTTCTCTTAGCTCCAAGCAGACCAAGAACTGAGCGATCGGCAGTCATGTGATCCACTCAGTTCTTGGTCTTAGAGTGGATAAGGGGGAACAGCTGCAGCATCACAGCAATGCTGCAACATGGAGGCGAGTTTAGATTTTTTTTTTATAACACCCCCCGCATCTCCTTTAAAGTGTACTTCCACTTTTGTAGCCAAATTTAGAATAGAACCTACTTTATATTTGTTACATGATCCCATTCACATAGCAAAACTTAAAAAATATTTAAAAACTGCTGCATACCTTACCTAAAAGTAACCAAGTCAGTCTGAAAATATGGTAGGGATGGTGGTGATCGGTAAACATATGAAAACTATTAAGAACCACTAAGGCAGGCCTTGGAAAAGCCGCTCGCCTGCTCGCCAAATGCGAGGAGAAATTCCTCTGTGGCGAGCGGCGAGCACAGATGAAGCATGGAGCGACTGCACCTGCGCTCCAAGCTTCATTGTGAAGCCGAGTTTCGGTTTCCAACTTCCAGTCTCCGGCTTCTGCGGCACCGCCGATGAGGGGACAGATGCAGGAGTGGTCAGCTCTCCTTTGCTGAGAGGAGACACCCTCTCCACCACCGCGGGGGACTCGGAGGGACTAGAGTAAGTAAGTACTGTATAATGGACAACATGTCATTATCACTATCCCTATAATGGAGTACAGGGAGTTGGGATATACATTACTCAGTAATGTATATCCCAGCTCCCCTGTACTCCATTATAGTGATATGACATGTATACAGTAATGTATATCCCAGCTCCCCTGTACTCCATTATAGTGATATGACATGTATACAGTAATGTATATCCCAGCTCCCCTATACTCCATTATAGTGATATGACATGTATACAGTATGTATATCCCAGCTCCCCTGTACTCCATTATAGTGATATGACATGTATACAGTAATGATTACTGTATACATGTCATCACTATAATGGAGTACAGGGGAGCTGGGATATACATTACTATGTACAGTTTTATATTTTGGACTCTTTATTCTAAAGAAAAATGTAATTTCATAAGCTTTAAGGGGGCGTGGTGGGGGCGAGCTGGGGTGGGGTTGGGGGCGGACCTGGGCAAGGATGGGTGGGGCAACTGGTGGAGAGTACGTTTTGTGACCGGCTAGTAGGTCTGGACTCGAAATTTTAACCCCTGCACTAAGGGATGCAGTCATTGGTTAAATCTGTCATGAAACATTGTAGTATAACAGACATACATGCGACTATATTCATTTGAGTG